CTGTAATCAAGAGACTGTGCTGTATCCACCTCCATGGTGTCAGAACCCACCTCTGTACCAGGTACACAGTGCAGCTGTTGTGCCATCATGAGTTGGTTTAAGAGCTTGGGCCCTAGAGACTGCTTGGGCTCCAATTCTGACTCCATCACTTACCTCGCTGCTTACCTTAAGGAAGTTCCTTGGACACTCTGTGACTCAGTTTTTTCATCTATTGAGTGGGTACAATAAAAATATGTATCTTAAAAAACTGCTGTGAAGATTAAATGAGATATATATATGTAGCACAGTGCCTGGCACTTAATAAATCCTCAGTTAGGGGCGCCTGGGTGGCTCAGTCAGCTAAAGCGTCTGCCTTTGGCTCAGGGTCCTGGGATTGAGCCCCGAGTCGGGCTCCCTGCTCGATGCGGAGCCTTCTTCTCCCTCTCCCTCTGCTGCTCCCCCTGCTTGTGCTTGCTCTCTCTCTCTCTCAAATAAATAAATAAACCTTAAAAATAAATAAATAAATATAGCTGTTATTAAGAAGTGGCAGTAAAAGGAAAAACCCAGTAAGTTTGTTGAATGATTTCCTCCACGATCATAATTTAGGTGATCACATGGATCCAGCACCTGATCCCCAAGATTGAGGATGGAAATGACTTTGGGGTGGCAATCCAGGTAAGAAAAGGGTGTATGAGGACATTGAGAGCAGGGAGAGACTTGGGGAGTGAGAGATAGGAACTAGATATGACCTGGGAGGAGGAGGAAGATGGTGGGTGAAGGAGGGAGGAGATGAAGTGTTTTTCTTGCCTCCCATCTCTCTCTCTTTCTCTTTTTTAATCACAGGAGAAGGTGCTGGAGAGGGTAAATGCAGTCAAGACAAAAGTAGAAGCCTTCCAGACAACCATTTCCAAGTGAGGGCAGCTGGAGGGCCAGCACAGGGGTGCTGCAGGGACATTTCTTTGGGATTCCCAAAGCTGGGCAGTCCCATCAGGACAATAGGGGGCTCTGGGAAGGATCTGAGGGAGTATCTCTCTCTCACTACCCGTTCCTGTGTTTATTCCCTTGCTTTTGGCAGGTACTTCTCAGAACGCGGGGATGCTGTGGCCAAGGCCTCTAAGGAGACTCATGTAGTGAGTAGATAGTCACCAGGCTTTTAGCTGAGGCTGGCTGGGGGTGGGGCAAGGAAGAGGGACTAGAGGTCTTCCTTGTCTGTTTTCTGACTTTCCCAATGTGGAAAATACTAAGCCAAGAGCATTGGCTAGAAAAACTGATTTGGGCTTCAAAAACCTGGACCCCTTTCTCGGCTTGATCCTGTGGGATTCCATTTCTTAGTGCTGAGAAGGGGCTCATCCTCAAGTTACCTATTCCCTATATGAGGAAACCAGATTAATGTCCCAACCTCCCATGGAGCTGACTCAGCTTTGCCTCCCACATCCCAGATGGATTATCGGGCCCTGGTGCATGAGCGAGATGAGGCAGCCTATGGGGAGCTCAGGGCCATGGTGCTGGACCTGAGGGCCTTCTATGTGAGTGTGGAGTAAGCCCCTATGGGAGATGGTTGAGGGGGACGGGGGAGAAGCCAAGAACCTGACTGCCACCCTTCTGGCCTTCTTCCAGGCTGAGCTTTATCATATCATCAGCAGCAACCTAGAGAAAATCATCAACCCAAAGGGTGAAGAGAAGCCGTCTATGTACTAGTCAAGGGCCAGAAAAAGAAAATAATAACAATAATAATAAATGACCTATGCTTTGTGTGAATTATCTCTGGTGTGTGTCATTCATTCAGAAGGCATTTATTGAGTGTCACCTATGTCCAGACACCAAATGTGAATGTGGTGGCAGGAAAGAGAGGGGATGCCATGAAGCCAAAGATGAATGGGAAACCCATCCTGTTCTTAAGAAGTCATCCTAAAGAACAGGGTGGAAATTGTGACATGTCGTGACAGCCATACAGATAGCCTGTATTTGGGGATTTCACAAGATTATTTCAAACATCTGGGGGGCTCGTGAGTGCTTCCTGGAAGAAGTGGCATTTGCTCAGACCCCTTATAGGAATAATCAGGCTTTGGACTGAAACCTGAGCAAGGAGAAAGCTCCGGGGCTGAGATCAGGGAAAGACGAAAGAACAACACTCATCATCAGCTCAGTGCAAGCCTGGAGAGGGAGTGAGGTTTCATTCATTATGGGTGAATGGTGGGACTCCTTCTCAAGAGCTGACAAGGGGAAAAACGCTCCCAAGGCATTATGTTGAAGGAAATTATACCGCAGGACATTAAGGGAAAGATGGGTCTGTGAATTTTTTTGTCCTCTTTCCCCCTCCTTCAGCCAATTGCCGCCTTTATTTCTGCAGAGACTACATTAAGGAAACCAAGGGCCAGATATCCTGTAGTGGCAAAGGTAACAGGGCTCATCAGTGACGGAGCTGGCCTAGAGTACAAATCCATTCATTCCATAGTAGGAGCAAGGCAGTGCGCTTGTGTCCAGGTTCGGAGATCGAGCGCTCTGGGACACCCCACGCGGAGCGCGCTCTCCAACCTCCTGGCTTTGCTGGGCCTGCGGGGGCGGGCGGCACAGGTGTCAGACGAAACCATCCTGCAATCCCGGACCGAAGTCGAGTAGCCTAGCCAATCAGCGTGCGGGCAGTTCTCTTTAGTTTTCAGTTGTGGGTTCTTTCCAGTTCGCGGGAGACAAAGGCGGGGCAAGGTTTGGACGCGGCCGGTGATTGGGCAAAATGAGAACCTTTGAGCCTATCAAAGAGCACCACGTGGGCGGGACTCCCGAAGCGGGTGCTGCTTACCGCAGCGGGCCGGGAGTCCCCCAGACCCGCGAGGATCTGCGGCCGCTAGCCGGGGGCGGGCGGAGGCGGAGTTCGGCGCTGCAGCATGCAATCCGGACCGTCGCGTTCTGGGCCAGGTGGGGGGCCGGGCGCCGGGACCCAGGTCCCCGGGAGCCGGCGGGCTGCCTTCGCGCGGAGTCAGCGTCACTGCCGAATCTAAGTGAGGGGGCAGAGCGAAGGGCCAAGGAAGGCGCCGGGGAGGGAGCTTCGCGGACGCGAGCTGGGGCCCCGCTGGCCATGGGGGAGGTGGAGATCTCGGCCCGGGCCTACGTGAAGATGTGTCTGCACGCCGCCCGGTACCCGCACGCCGCCGTCAACGGGCTGTTGCTGGCGCCCGCTCCGCGGTCGGGAGAATGTCTGTGTCTCACCGACTGTGTGCCCCTGTTCCACAGCCATCTGGCCCTGTCCGTCATGCTGGAGGTCGCCCTCAACCAGGTGCCGCCGCTGGACGCCCACCGACCACCGCGAAACCCCCTAACACCCCTAGCCCAAGCCCATCCCCGGCCTCTTGGCAGCAGTGCGCACCTACAGGGCGGGCGGCACGATTGAGTTTCTGATGGCCCCTTTCCCACGGCAGGTGGATGCGTGGGGCGCGCAGGCCGGTCTGGTAGTGGCTGGGTACTATCATGCCAATGCAGCTCTGGACGACCAGAGGTGAGTGGAGTAGCCAGAGGCAGAAGGCTAAGGGTTATGGGATGGGGGATCAAGAGAACTCTTGGTCATTCCTTTCATCTTTCCTTCGTCAAATGCTTAGGAGCAGGGACTATATCCACCAGGCACTAGGCTGGGTACTGGAGTGAGGGAATATAAAGAAATATGAAGGAGCTCCCTGGAGGAGCTGTGGTGGGGGTGGGGAGCATAGCTGTGTATCAATAACAGGCTGACACCTGGCTTTAACTGAGGTGACCCCTGCCAAGTGCTGAAAGAACACAGAGGAAGCCCAACCAGCAACTTTGGGGGAAAAAAAAAAAAAAAAAAGGAAATGTCCTTATATATAGAAAACGTTATCTACTTACATATTAATCATGTATCTGGATCAAATTATACACAGTTTTGTAATTTGCTTTTCTCACCTCACTTAGTAAATATCTGCCATTTTTCCATCTCTACACCAAGATTTACCTTATCCTAACAGCTATATAGTATGAGTATGGAAGTACCATGATTTATTTAATGCCTTAAACATTGATATTGTTTCCCATTTTTTGTTAATACAGACACTGTACAATTATTACAGTAAATTATTTATAAGTGGAATTTCTGGGTCAGCATATACTGTTTAAATTATGCCAAATTACCCTCCCAAAAGATCACCTTTGATCTCCACCTTGACCAACAATCTGAGCACCTGTTTTCCACTGCACTCAAGCATTAAGCAGTTGTGTATGAAGCTTCAAGCAGGCCTGACCCCCCAGACCTGCTACAGGGAAAGGCCACCACTGCGCCATCATCTAGGAGACCTGGGGGGTCCAGCTCAGATGAACAGGGTCTACCCATGGTCAGCTCCTCACTCCTCTGATCTTTCCTCCATACAGCGCTGGGCCTCTGGCCTTGAAAATCGCTGGGCGGATTGCAGAATTCTTCCCTGGTGCAGTCCTTATTATGGTGAGGTTTGGGTTTCACGGTGGGGAGTTGGTGAGAAAGTAGGAAAGGGGAATCCTTGAAACCCTCACCAGACCTTCCTTGTCTGCACAGTTGGATAATCAGAAACTGGTGCCTCAGCCTCATGTGCCCCCCGTCATCGTCCTGGAAAACCATGGTCCCCGCTGGGTCCCCAAGGACAAGAACTTGTGAGTGCCCCACTCCCTTCACCTCTTCTTGGAAGCCCACAGCTCCTGGGCCTCCTCTGTCCTTGATCTTGCCCCAAGGGTCCTTGTCTAGATGCTAACCTCTGCCAAGTGTCTGGCCCCCTGCTGAGTTTGACCTCCATGGGGGTTATTATTTCAGAGTGATGTGGAGGGACTGGGAAGAGTCACGGCAGATGGTGGGAGCACTACTGGAGGGCCGGGCCCACCAGCACCTTGTGGACTTTGACTGCCACCTTGACGACATCCGGCAGGACTGGACCAACCAGCAGCTGAACACCCAAATCACCCAGTGGGTGGGTCCCACCAATGGAAATACCTGAGCCAGGGCTGGGGGGGTGGGGGAGGGAAAGGGTCAGGATCCAATAAAGAGACTTGGGTTGAAGGACAATGGTATGACTATTTATTATGCCTGGGAGGCAAGGGGAGGGAGAAACCTCAACAGGCTGAAGTTGGGGAAAGTCTGGAGTCCTCTGTAAAAGATAGGAAGGTCTCTGCTGGACCCATTACGGAATGAGAGAAGGCTCTCAATAGATCATTCCTTTTGTTTCTCCCCTGGGCTTCTTAAGCTTCTCGAAGTTCTTCAAGATGATGTCATATAACACAGCCTACAGGGCCAGAGAGGAGTGGGGGTCAGCCACAGGCCCCCAGTGGCTCCTGTGCCCCATTTCTAGCCTTATGGAGAAGCTAAGTTCTGTGACCCTTCACCCCCAGCCTCTCAGGGAGTAGGTGGCCTAGGAAAGCTCCCTCTGTCCCCCACCCCCTCGCTTCCTCACATAAGCGTTGCGGATCTCCATGACCATCAACCGGATGTCCCGGTACTCTGCCTCATCCAGCTCGTGCACCAGCTGCCGATAATCACCCTGTGGGAGTCTTGGGTCAGGTCTGACTTCAGATGTGTCCTTCCCCCACCATGCACCCTGACTTGGGCCTCACCTACCACGTGGGGCTGCTTGGCTGCTTTGGTCACAGCATCGCCCCGTTCAGAGAAATACCTGTAGGAAGTAGAAGGGTATGGAGTGGGAGAAGGAAGAGGGAGCCCAGGCCTCTGTCCAAGGCAAAGGTGGAGTGTGCATGCACGTGTAGGTGGGCAGTCACTCACTTGGAGATTTGAGTGTGGAAGCCTTCCAGCTTGGTGTGAAGGGTGGTCATCAGCTCAAACACCTTCTCCTGGGGAAAGAATGCAAGGGGGAAAGTGGAAAGCAGCATGGACTGGAGCAGTAAGGAGGGCAGAGGAGTGGGGTAGCGCTCTCACCTGGACAGCCACTCCAAAATTGTTCCCATCCTCAATCCGAGGTATCTGCAGCTGCAACCAGGTGGTGACCTGGGAGGAGGGAAAGGCATCAAAGCCACAACAGCTCCCAACCTACTTCCCAGGTTCCTGTCCTCTGCTTCCCTGCCCACGATCGGGGGGAGTTATGCCAAGTCCGTCCTAAGCCCCAGGGCCTACAATTCTGGCTTCATTTGCTGTGCTCTCTCCTGCTGAGACCCAGCTGGTGCTAAGCCCTACCTGATAGGGACCAAGGAGGACAAAGGGTTAGGTCTGAAGCCTGGGGGTGGGAGTGGGAGGGCTCACCAGGTTGAGCTGCTCAATGACATCCTTGATCTCAGGCTTTAGACGCTGAAGGAGGACCACGATCTTCTCATTGCAGTTCACTGGGCCACAGGGAGGACCTAGGCAGTGGGCAATGGGTCAGTCACCAGGCTGGGACTGTGTGAGGGCAGGGAAGAGCAATCCCTGGGGAAGAGCTCCTAGGAGGTGAGACTCAAGTCCATTCATGGTGGTACCTTTGTCTTCGTCTTCCCCTTTCTTCTTTTCATCTTTGTCTTCCTTCTGCAGGGAGAGAGGGGCTCTTGGCACTCAGGCCTAAGGTTGATTTTTCCCATGGTTGGGTCCCTCCTCCCAGCTCTTCCCGGCTTGCCTCCTGCTGTTTCTTCCGTTCCTCTTTCTCTTTCTCCTTGACTGGATCAGGCACTGGGATGTCCAACGGGGCCTTCAGATTGCTCAGGTCGGCTTCGTTGAGAGCAGGCTCCTGGTGCAGGGTGGGAGGAGAGCTGGAGGCAAAGGCATCCCTCTCGAGAGGCCTCACTCTCATGGCTCCCCAGACGCCCCCCTTGACCCCTATTCTCTAGCTTTCTGCTGCCCCCAGTACCTTTAAAAATGCATCCAACTCAGAAATCTTCTTGGGGAAGTAGCTCCCCAGCAGGTTCTCTGTCTGTGTGTGAGGTGGGGGTGGGGGAAGATGGGGGTCAGAATCACATGTTCTTCCTGGCAGTGAAGCAGGGCTGCCGCTGCCCAGCAGGGAAGGGTTGAGCCGTGGGAGTTGGGTAGGAGTGGGGTGTTGATGGGGCAGGTCTTACCTTGGTACACAGGTCTTCACGGAACACGTCCACCTGTGGGACACAGGCAGCCCTTCAGACACCTGGCTTTATGGCCAGTTCATATGAGGACCATTCCCTTAGGGTTGTGTAGGGCCTGACCTGGGGAAGGGTGGAATGCATCCCGTGGGGTTGGGGAGGGTGAAGTGAATCCCCGTGGGGCTGGATGTGGGGGATGAGAACATTCCTGGCGGTGAAGGGCGAATGGTCCAAGTGAGAACAGATCCCTCGGGTCTCCTGGGCTGTACAAGGAGGGGTGTAAGAGCCTCTGCGACTGGGGCAGGAACGGCGTGCCCTGTGGAGTGGGCCGGGGGCCCTCCCGTGGGAAAAGCCATGAGGTGGCAGGGCAGCTCCGGCACCCTGTCTGTGTGTGGCCCGGGGCCCCGCGCCAGCGGACTTCCCCTCCACGCCAGCTCTCCGCTTCACCGCACCCCGCTGAACCTCGACCTCCTGGCCTCTCCCGGCACGCGGACCTCGCCTGTCTCCCCCGGCCAGGGCGCAGGTGCTCCTGGCACCGAGGCTCACGTGGGCTCCGATCGACCACGACCCCAACCCGCGACGGGGGCCGGGGGGCCGGTCACGGACGCCTGCAGCCTTTCGGAGCCACGCCTCCCTAACGGGCCCCTCCTCGAACCCGCAGCGCTCACCTTGGCTTGGGCTTCAGGCTGGACCCTGAGCGTGGCCATGGCCGGGGAGGGGGGCCTAGCGCCGCACGAGAAGCGGAGTGTGTACGGGGAAGAGAAAGCGAAAGCAGCGCTCGCCACCCGCACGGCCTTCCTGGGTAGCCGGGCAGCCGAGGTACTGGAGGGGGCGGGGCCAGAGCCGGAGGGGAGGGGGCGGAGGGCGGCAGCCGCGGCCGGGCTCCCCCTGGAGGCCGAGAGGAGCGCTGCCACCGCCTCCTCCGCCCGGCGGCCCGTCCCAGCCTGCCTCCCCCTCCCGCCCTGCTCCCGAAGCCCAGCCTCTCCCTCCCCGCCTCCTCGCTTCCCGCCTTTCGTCTCCCAGCCTACTGCCACTATCACCCCCACACACGCTTCTTTCCACGCCCAGCCTCCCCACGCACCGCGGGCCCGCCTTCCCGCCTCCCGGAGCCAGTGCCCTCCTCCCATCTCCCTGCCTCCGGACTCCTCTGGTTCTCTTCTGTCCCTGTTCGGCCTGGGACGGTGATAAGCCTTATCTGGCGCTCTTCCATCTTTTCTGGCCTCCCTTGCCTAGTCCTGGCTCCACGGGCATCGTCTGGCCCATGTGGTGACATTCAGACGCTGTCACCACTCCAACCCAGGCCCCGGTCAGCTCCCTCCTGACCCATGTTGTGGACTACAACCCCCCCTATACTCTCCACACAGACTCTGTCTGGCTTAAAGCTCTCTCTCAGTTTCCTGTTGACCTTAGAATGAAATCTAAAGGGCTTTCCCGGCCCAGAAGGCTTGCCTGGCCTGCCTGGCCCCTGTTCTGCAACCTCACTTTCCACTGCTTTCCCCCTTCCCTTACACTTGCAAATAGCTGGGCCTTCCATTGTTGCTTAAACCCAATGTCAGCATTCATTCCTGTCTCAGGTACTTTGGCCTTACCGATCCCTTTGCCTGACACACCCTTTCCCCGCCTCGGGTTGTCGTTAGGTTCTCAGCTTAGGTTCTCAGCTTAAATATCACCTCTCCAGAGGGAACTCTCTCCATCATCCTTTATAAAGTACCTCCCTGCCAAGTCTCTATTACAAACCAGCCTGTTGTAGTACATTCATAGCACTGGAGCTCTCTGATATTAGCCAGTTTATTTTGGAGGGATAGTGTGGTTTAGACCAGGGGTTGGCAAACTTTTTCTGTAAAAGGCCAGATAGTAAACATTTCAGGCTCTCGTGGGCCATATGGTGTCTGTAGTAACTACTCACCTCTGCCCTTAGAGCAGGTAAACAGCCATACCTAAATGAATTAGCAGGGCCAGGTTCCAGTAAAACTTTCTTTATGGACACTGGAATTTGAATTCTGTGTAATTTTCACATACCATGATATATTCTTCTTCTTCTTTTTTTTTTTTCCAACCATTAAAAATGTAAAAACCTTTCTTAACTCTCAGGCCATACAAAATCTGGCCACAGGAGGGCTGTAGTTGCTGGTCCTCTGTTTAGAGCACAGACAATGGACCCTTACTGCCTGGGTTTATAATCCTGGCTTTGATATCTACTAGCTGTGAACAAGCCACTTAACCTCTGTGCCTCAGTTTTCACAACTGTACAGTAGAAACGTTACCAAACCCACCTGATAGTGGTGTTGTTGTTATGAGGGCTTAATGTCTTGATTTATAGGAAGAGCTTAGAGACACTTAGAACGCTGCCTGAAACATAGTAAGCGCAAGAGGAGTGTTTGCTGTTATTTGTGAGTTTCTCATCTGCTTCCCCCATTAACCCACCAGCCCCCAAACAGCAGGAACCTTGTCTTCCTTATTCACAAGGCGTGGAACTATGCTTGGCTCAATAAAGACCTATTAAGTAAATGTGCCCAGACAGGCAGGCCCTTAAGGAAGGTGGAAGGGGGAATTCAGTGAAGGAGGCAGAAAAAACCAATCAACCAGGCTGGAGACGAAGCACCTGCTTAGCAGGAGTGCTGCCTATACCGACGGGCACTCTTACCTGCTCTGGCATGGCCGGTCCTTGATATCTGAGCCCCCCAGAGAGCTTGAAGTCTGCGAGGACTGGGAGACTTGAAAGGACAGCAGGAAGGATGGAGAGCAAGCAAAGAATGGCTGAGGGACGCGCGAGAGACTGCCTGACTCCCTTCTTACCCTTCCCACCCTTTCTGAGTCCCCCCAACCAAATGATGAGCAGAGCCCGAGGTAGGCCAGGTTTGCCTTTATTTCTTTCAGTTATGCTTGCGGCTGGAGTGGGGCCGAGGAAAGAGCCCGTGGCCCGGGCTCCCTGGAGACCAGGGCTGATGATACCAGCTGCCATAGGTGAGGTACCAGGCAAAGGTGCCCACCGCGGCACCCACCACCTTGTGGGTGTACTGGTGGAAATAGATGACGGTACAGAGCAGCAAGAAGTTCCAGAGGCCCAGCAGCAGCACGTTGAGCAGGAAGACGAGGCGGAGGGGGGCCCCGGCTGGCAGCCCGTGGGCCAGATACTTGGCGAACACTGCGGCTTCCTCGGCCATGAGCAGGCAGCAGAAGGTGAGCAGGAAGGTGTGGGAGGAGACGGTGTAGCCCCGCCACTGGTGGCCAGCTGCCAGGCAGCTGCGGCGGTCAGGAAGCTCGTGCAGCAGCAGGCCTTGGGGCAGAGGCTCGAAGCAGGAGCCAGTCAGGTCCTCGATGAGCAGGAAGGCCCGGCCGGCCCCCCGCCACACTGCCGCCCCCACCACCAGCCGGCTCAGGTGCCTGGCGGTCACGGCCACACGCCGCGTAGCCAGGAACACCACCAGCAGCACGAAGCCCCCCAGGAAGGTGCATGTCCAGCCCCATGCCGAATTCACAAACTTTCTGTGGGCACAGAAGAAGGGAGACTAGCTACTGAGACCCGCCTGCGCCCCATCTTCCACCCCATCTGTGTTCCCATCCCTGCTCTGTCCCCCGCCCTACATATCCTCACTGGTTCCCTTTCTTCCCTGCCCCCCCCCCCAGCCACTTAAACCTTGCCGTCTCCTTAGAGGCCCATTCAGCCTTCGAGGAGCCGTATTTCCTCTTCAGCCCTGCTCCTGATTTCCCCTGGACCCTAGGACTCTGTTCCCCTCCCCCTCCTCCCAATTTCTCAACCTCTTAGCCTATTTTTAGCGTCCAGACTGGCAGCACCACAGAAGCCTGGAGGAGGGAGCTGGGATCCCAGAGTGCAGGGAGCCGGCGCCCACAGCCTCCAGTGGACTCACATGTTGAAGAAGTTGCCGTGGCTGGCGAAAATAGTCCGAGGGTTGACATGGAACTGCAGAAGGGGCCCAAAGATGACCACTGCTGCCAACCAGGCATGGTAGAGGCGCCGTAAGCAGGGGCTGCCCAGGAGGCGGGCGGCCTGTTCACTTCCAAAGTACAGCAAGGCAGAGGCCACCCAGAGCAGCACCCTGACCAGGCAGCCTAGCAGCGCCCTGATTTGGGCCCCGGCCCCCAGCCCTGCCCCCACCACCGGCCCCCGCTCCATGTTCCCTCCCCTCCCCACTACCCGCTTGCTGTGCCGGGTAGCTGAGGAGGGGCTGATGGGGCCCCCCCTGGACAAGGACGGGCAGTGACAGGTGTGGCAGACACAGGGCAGAGCCCTGGTGGCAGCTGGCAGGCGGGGGAGAGGGGTGGGGGGCAGTAAGGGGCCAGGGCGGAGGGCTGCCACGTCAGCAGGGTCCTAGCTTTGGTTGTGTGTCCTGACAGTGGCCTGTGTCCTTTCCTTTTAGCTCTGTGTCCCCAGCTCCAACCATGTTCGAGTTCATGTTGGAGGGCCAGGCCTGCGGTTCAGTGTTTTGTCCACAGCCTGCCTGGGCCTGCCCATCTATTGGGTCAACCAGTCACCCCCGCCCCACCCCAACCTTACCATGTTTGCTCCGCAGGGAAATCAGGGGTCATGGAGATTCAAACTAACCAAACCTTGGAAACCATTTTAAAAAAAATCTGTCTGGGCGCCTGGGTGGCTCAGTTGGTTAAGCGACTGCTTTCGGCTCAGGTCATGATCCTGGAGTCCCTGGATCGAGTCCCGCATTGGGCTCCCTGCTCGGCGGGGAGCCTGCTTCTCCCTCTGACCCTCCCCCCTCTCATGTGCTCTCTCTCTCTCATTCTCTCTGTCTCAAATAAATAAATAAAAATCTTAAAAAAAAAAATCTGTGTCTGCCTCATCATCAGTGTGATCCAACCCCTCTCCTAAATTCTGAGCACAAGATCCCACACTGCAGGATGCACAAGATGGCTGTGCATGCACCATGTCCAAGTTACGCTGGGGGGAGCACACCAGCAGGGGTATCCACTTAGGTGCACCATGACCCTAGGGCTTGACCCAGCCCCAGCCCCTGTCTGGTGTGAGGTACTCTGAGTGGCTCTCTGGCCCTATGTAAACCATGGTGGTTACATAATGCACAAGACATCAGATCTAAGATGGGACCATTCTTTGGTACGGTTATCACGAAGGCCAACAGATGAAACTCAAGTGTCCTGGGGTGCCTGGGTGGCTCAGTTGGTTAAGTGTCTGCTCAGGTCATGATCCCAGGGTCCTGGGATCAAGTCCCACGTCGGGCTCCCTGCTCAGTGGGGAGTCTGCTTCTCCCTCTGCCTCTGCCACTCCCCCTTCCTATGCACACACTTGCTCTGTCAAATAAATAAAATCTTAAAAAAAAAGAAATTCAAGTGTCCTGTGAAAGGTGTATTGTATGAGAGATGGTGGTGGCCCAGGCTGGATTTTCAGGACTCCAAAGATTAGGCTCATGTGATGGGGGTGGGGGTGGGGGTGGGGGTGACCCTACAAGGAAAATCCCCACCTTGAAGCCCATCAAAACCTTAGGTTGTATCCTCCAACCGGTTACCCTGGGTCCTAAGTCTCACATTGGCCTCCCAGCCTGACCCCTGGGGCTGGAGCCACAAGGCAGAGAGCAACCTACCCAAGGGATGTCCCTGTTATTCAGTAACTGTTCTGAGATCCTTTTTTGTCACCCTTCCTCATTCGTCAGAACTGGTGGTGGGATTTCAGAGTACAGTGGAGGCCCACGAAGTAGTGAAAGGAATGAGCAAGCAAGTACACCTGGGTGCTGAACTGTGTGACTTTGGGAAAATCAACTAATCCTCCTTGGTCCTCAGTGCCCACATCCATAAACCGATCAAGATGGATTCTTCAATCAGATTCCTTCCAGATCCTAAAGCCCATACTTCAACATAGTTCCTGCTCATGGACCCTAACAGGAAGACCTATAGAACCCCTCACACATCTTTGACAAAAAAATTTTTTTAAAGATTTGATTCCTTTATTTGAGAGAAAGAGAGAGCATGAGTAGCGGGGAGGGGCAGAAGGAGAGGGAGCAGCAGATTCCCTGCTGAGCAGGCTGGATCCCAGGACCCCAGGATCATGACCTGAGCCAAAGGCAGACACTCAACTGACTTAGCCATCCAGGAGCCCCACAAAAAATTTTTCATTGTAATTTTAAATAGTTGCGCAGGACATAATTTCCAATGCATTCTCTCTCTCTTTCTTTTAAATATACCCAATGGAATCTAAATACTACAGTGATTAGGTATCTTACCATTTTCCACTTAAAAAACATGTGACATGATCTTAATAGTCAGAAATTATATTTCCATTAAACTTCCCCCACACAAGTTATCCTAATGTTTTTACGCCTGAACATTTTGTTGATCACACTTGTCTGCCAAAAAAAGTATATAATTTGAAACTTAATTTTTATTTATTTTTTTATTTTAAAGATTTTATTTATTTGACAGAGAGACAGAGCAAGAGAGGGAACACAAGCAGGGGGAGTGGGAGA